AAAGATTGATTTCAGTTTTTGTAAGATAAATTAAATTTTAAAGTGAATCATCCTCTTCAAATGAGAGTATAATCAGTAAAAAGTGGTTGTGTTTGTATCTGTTATTTTCTATCTTCAAGTGAAATCACATGTGTCATGTGCATTTGGAAAACAAAAAGGGTGTCCCACTACAAATTTACAACATTAAAGAGCCTGTTTAATTTTTCATGTGATTTTCTTTGCTTTCCACCTAAAGGTCAGCTGGGCTTCTCCTGTTCCATACTATCTTAAGTACACCTGCTGACAAGCAAGGATCACACATGCCTTTTCGCTCACCTTTGCCAGGTAAAGGCACAATTTTGCTTTACATACTGAAGTTCAATCAAACTAATTAAATGATTTCTGTCTCCAGAGAATCTCCTGTTTTAAAAAAAAATCTGTATGAATAAAATTGAAATCTGTTTGTGGAAGACTACGGCTTGGTGCCAGCAACCAGGATCAGCAGGAGCGGAAGCTACTGAGAACATCATCTGTAGCAGCAGTTTTCATGAGACCATGTTTTGGCAACAGGAAATAAACATTATGGGGAGAAGGCTCCTGTAGCCCCTCAGGGCCCTTCGAGTACAGTAATGCACACAGCTGAGTGCTCCAGAGAATGCTGCCTGTCTGCCAGCTTGCCTGCCTGTGTCACGATACAGGGGGCGTTGGGGGATGGGAGGAGGGTCACATGTGTGCAGCGCTGCAGGCTCTGGGTTGTCTGCACGCTCTACATGCCTTTGCCCATCTCTTTCTCTGAACTGAGTCCATCGAGTACTAGTGGGAAGTATTTCTGCGAGCAGAGAGACTCCAGATTCACTGTAGCAGAGGAAAAAAGCCAGAATAATGCAAGACATGGAAAAACACCAGGCTTTCAGATGACAGTGGTGCCCCTCATTTCTCAGAGGCTTATAGTTAGAGGCAAGTACAAATTGCTGTGCAATGAAACACGTTACATTGGCAGCAGAGATGTAGCATAAATCCATCGCATTATTTGCTGAATTGAGTTTACCACCTGTCATATGGAGGGCGGCACTGTGGTGCAGTGGCTAGCACTGTCGCTTCACAGCAAGAAGGCGACAAGTGGGTTCAAACCCTGGTTGCCTCGGCCTTTCTGCGTGGAGTTTGCATGTTCTCCCCGTGTCTGCGTGGGTTCTCTCCGGGTGCTCCGGCTTCCTCCCACCATCCAAAGATGTGCAGGTTAGGTTAATTGGTGTTGTCCTTGAATGTGAGTGATGTGAGTGTGAGTGGTTGTGTGTCTATCTGTGGCCCTGCGATGGACTGGCGACCTGTCCAGGGTGTACCCCGCCTTTCGCCCGATGTCCCGCGACCCTGTACGCAGGATAAGCGGTTGACGATGGATGGATGGACCCGTCATAGGGTTACCAAAACACTCACACTGATATACTGATGATATAATGTACATCCCACTAAATTGTATCAAACTGGGAGTGGATGATGAGTATAGCATCTTCATTTTACAATTTTGTTGAATGTTTGGCGTAAGACAATCACAGTCTATGAGATAATGCACACACTGTGGACACACATTTCTGTTTTTTGAGGACATTAAAGTCTACCTGTCTATTATGGTTGTAGAGAGAACAGTTATTTTCATTATGGAATAATTGTTTTGTCTACAAACTGTCAGAAAATGGCCACCATAGTTTAATAAAGGCCAAGGTGATATCTTATTTTGTCTGACACAGTCCAAATGATTAACAACCAATTACATTTTGTATTTTTGCTTGAAAATATGACAAACAATTAATCACAATAGATACATGTTGCTACTGGAAAACGATACTTTAAGAAATATTTCATCTTTTTAGTCAAATGCTCACTACACATGTGCTTAAAAAGTGGCTCTGAAAAGAAATTGCTAAATACATTACATTCTGTGGAGCTTCAAGACTATGAGTAGGCAATGTTGTGGAAGAACGATGAGTGTTTACAACATACTTAACATACAAATCAGCAGTGGAGAAAATGGAGTGATTTCAATTATTTCTAAGGATGCATTGCTCTGTTTTGACACGTCATGACTGCAGTAGCAAACTACAGACTTTTCAGAGCGACCTTTCAATTCTACAATATATTATTTAAATACAATGTTCAATTCACATGCTTTTTATCATCAATATACACAAGGGATGTCATGCAGCAATGGGTGTACGACACATATACAGCTAATGATTGTGTCCGCCATTCTTCTGCTATGTAAAAAAATGGTCTGATGAAATGTAAAAAGAGAATACAAGGCAGAGTGGGCAAGGAGGGGAGGCATTTCAGGGAAGGGACAGTGACACTGTCGGGTTGTTATGCATGTAAGTGGGGATGCGGTGTTGCCTGGAAGCGTCAAGAGGGGACGGCGAATGTCACTCCGATCAGTCGAAAGTGTCATGACGAGTAGCGGAGCCGTGACCTCTGATGGGGAGAGGGGGAAAAACAGAGGAGAAGAAGGAGACACAAGGCAAAGTGCAACATAACAGAAAAGGCAGTGACAGCAGAAACAGGGAGGCAGGGAAAGCGGGAAGAAGAACAAGAAGGAGGAAAGTTTGTGGTGGGCCAACGCCTAATCCTGCCAGCGCTCGGGGCTTCAAGAAGAAGAGGAGTGATATCAGTAAAGACACATTCACAGCCTGCCTATCGCCTAAATGAGGCCACTTCTGTCTTTAAAAAGGAAACTCTGCTGCTTCTCTTCTCATTCACCACCTCCTCTGCAATCACACACACACAGTGGAGAAAGACCTGGAAGCTATCTATTGTCCTCTTTAAGAACCCCGCTATATGATTATGTGAGCGTTGTTCCACACTGCCGGCCTCTCAAAATTGCTGAAAATTACGTCTGTTAAAGAAGTCTCGTTATTAAAGAAGTGTCAGATGCAGTAAAATTATTACTGCCTAATCAAGAGCAAAGACACACCAGCACAAAGGTGATGGCTGCTTCTGTGAAATAAGCTCATTTGTATTGTCCAAAAAGGCAGAAGGTGTCTATGTATAATTACCATGGTCTAACAAACCTCTTTATAAACCCTTAGAGTAATGTTGATATCATACAGACCAATAAGACAGCATCAGAGTAATTAATGGAATTGTTTGTGCCAGAATGTCGCTAGGAGGATCGCAATCGCCAGAGTGACATCTAATTTAAGCCGGGTGCCAGGAAATGCACCAGAACAGTATGTCAGCTCTGTCATTACACAATGACAACCAATACATCACAACTACGCCACCACAGAGCCTTTACTGCCGATGGACATCAGTGAAATTGTCTGATAATGGAAATGTTATTTCACTTTGGCAGCCCTAGGTGCATTCTCTGGAAATGAAGTGGTGGGAATGTTTGGACAGGGAAGGAAGATGGCCTCAAATTTGCTATTCCTATAAGAATGAGGAAAGACATGCATTCAAATACGGGACCAGAGAGGTAAGAGGGGTTGTTTTGCTCTGTTCTATTGATCTCTGTTCTGTTCTAAATCTATGAATAGCATTTTGTAGTGCTTAAGTTTTCCCTTTTTGTCTTGTACTCTCAAATGTATATCATTTCCACTGTGTAACTTCTGAGGAGGATAAAAGCCCTAAGGCTAAAGCATGAGCTGGATACCACATAACCCGAGTTCAAACCTACAGTCTGAGATGAATCCAAGATGAAAACAAAGCAAAGGCAGACTCTTGTAAAGGTATATTTATCTCCAAAACTCCCAACAATCTGTTCCACACGTCATAATGAAGAGGTGTAAGTCAGCTAATTCAAAATCATTCTAAGTGCCATGGGGCAAGAAGAAAAAAAAAGCCGATATCGAAATGATTTTCTGGCTGGATTAATTCAAAAGTAAGTATCATTTTAACACTTCAAACCCCTTTTAAGCCATAATGTGAGATAACACCAAAGCTAATAGAGACACAGTGTGTGCCTCGCCTGTGTCTCCGAAACCATGCGGATTACTGTGCTATCGGCGGGCACCGCCTGCGAACAAAGTCCTCCTCTCTCCACCAGCAAACCTCCAGAGTCTTCTGGCAACAGAGTGGGGAGAGTGTGTGACTAGAATTACTGACACACTTTCAGAAAATGCTAATCTCCACTTACTGTAGGAACTATTACACAAGACTTTTCTTTTTTTCACATGTTGCTATGAAAATGAACAAACCACACCAAAATTTCAGCCTTTTCACGACAAAAGTTCAGTCTTTCCACTACGTTTCACTGATCTAACTGCAAACAAAGGCAATGTCATTCAACCAACATGGTTGATTGATTGCTCAGTGAATGTGAACAAGCAACTGAATACATTAGTTAAATACAACACTGCTGTACCTCTACAAGTACTGTACATAACAAAAACAATAGATTAATGCACACATACTTACAGTATATGTCACTTGGTGCATGCTTTACAAGTGCTTTACAAAACCATCATTAAGCAAACCAATCCAACGGATGGCCAACTGGTAATTACACCCCACTTACCAAATGTTTAAAGAGATGCAAAAAATACCACAAGTTCGCCCTATATTCTCTTCAACTAAACACTCTGCCGTGAATTAATTTTGACATAAGGACTTCATTTGGAGTTAGCGAGAGTCACTGAATTGGAAAATTTTCCAAAGTAATGTTATTGGAAACACAATATTTGTGACATGTTCATTTAAGCATAATGATGTACTGTAAATTAAAATATAAGTACCCATAGTTTCAATTGGGGATACTGTTTGGAAAGAATATATTTTACATCACTCTAATTGCAAATTGCAGTTCATCCAGTAAAAGGGTTTATAGGAATTCAAATGAGAACAAAACGACATGCATACGACAAAATATCCCCAGTGCATAGCATATAACTGCATAACATCCTGTTTCAGATCAAGCCTTGGGCATTTGTTGCATGTCTCCCCATCTGTCCTGTCTATATTACACTAACACCGTCAGTGAAGTCAAAAAACATCACAAACACAACGTCAAAAACGCCATTACTGTGGCTTACCTGTGGAAGGGCAGAGCTGAGCTGGCGCTGCAGAGAATCACGGTCGTAGATGACGTCCTGAAGATGCTGCTGGGCCAGGCCGAGGCTCTCCTGGGTCTCCCTCAGAGTGTCCAGCAGCCGGTCCCTTTCGTCCAGCATGTTAACCATCAGTTGCTCAAAGTGGGAGTCTGGGTCCGAGGCGCTGCTCTGAGAGCCACGCTGGCTCAGAGCCGTGTCCTCGCTGATAGTGGGCATCACTTCGCACATCATCTTGGCACTGCCGGGAAGGAGGGAGATTAGATTAGTTTCGAAATGAGAAGAAGACAGTGTTACAGTGAAACCTGTGAAATGATACTGCTGAATTTCACATTGTAGAGTATGTTACTAGCGCCGCTGATAAATCTCCTAGCTCAGGAGTTGGAATGGGTTCAGCGTCCACTGAACTAGTCCTGTCCACATGTTCAAGTGTCACGGGCAAGACACTGAACCCCAGATTGCTAATGTGTTCACGTGTCCGAGGGTCAGGCCAGCGCCTTGTATGGTAGCTTGCTGCCATCGGTGTGAGAGTGTGTGTGTGTTAACGAGTGAATGAGAGGCAAATTGTAAAGCGCTTTGTATAAAAGCACTATTTAAATGTCGCTATTGATCATTTACTAAAGTGAGGCCAATACTGAAGGGCGACATTACAGTTCATAACTGACTGAGCTGTGATCACTTTTGAGTTTGATCTAAAATACTCGTTCCAAACCTTTTTGGCTTGTAACTCTTTATAATGCCTGTTTGTGACCCCTTTTCACATGTTGCATACCAAAGCAACATTAATATCTTGATTCAGGGTTGAGGCTTGAAGTTAGATTCAGGATAGTGTTGATGCTAAAGATGAAGATCTTCATAGCAAAACAAATGTGTCCATGTGAGTGTCTGCTACATGTGCGAGTATCCACTAGAACTATTTGTATGGCTGTGTGTATGTGACTGGGCCTGTCACAGTTGGAGCTCGGCACAGCGTCATCCCGTTTCAAAGCTGCAGAGACGTCTTGGGAGGCTGAGCGTTCTGCCCTAGATTTCACGCTTGTGCTGTTTAATGGGCCAGTCCAGATCAAGTTGCATAATACAGCGTATCTACGCTATAGTGGATATGTGAAGCCATATTCCAGCTTCCCCCGAAGGACTTCAGAAAGCCTCAGGAGTCATCCTAACCGATGGATGGTAGTTCATGAGCTAAAACCGGGTTTGCATCATAACACATCAGTCATGTGATAGAGCAAGCTAAGTTGAAGTAAAAAAAAATGTTGGTTATAAAGTTTTAAAGAGGCAAGGTAAAACATAAATTATGTATTATATCTTATATCTTTTGTTTAACCAAGCCAGCTACTAAAACATCTAAGAATCATCAGGGTTTAGTTGAGAGTTTTGAAATGGTATGAAGCTAGCATCTTCAGGACGACTTCTGACAGCCTGTGTTTACACTCACTGGACCCAGCTGTTTTGTGGCTAATGAGCTAACTGCATATAAGAGGCAAGAATTAGCTTGTTATATTTCTCATAGTTTTCTTTTACAGTAACACTGCTCATTAAACCACAGTGTCTCATTTTCTTATTTCTACACATGTAAAATACAAAACATAATGTGTGAATATAATAGCTTTGAAGTTAACAAAAGCCACAACACTGGGCTAACCACTTCCCCTTGATTCCAGCACAAACTTAGCTAGGCTAAGTGCATTTTGGACCGATGTCTGTATGCAGAGATTAAAATTATATAAATATTCTCATCTAAGTTCCAGTCAAGCAAATATGCATACATTTATTCCCCTAATGTTTGAGTGTTTAATTTCAAAATATCTGGATTTACCACATATGTCACAAAAATAACATTTAGTCATTAATTGTAGGCGCTCCAGATCAACAAATGACTGACATCATGATTAATGCTATAAAATAACATCAAAAATACATATTAATAAATCATGATAAAATAATAATTCAAAGCCTAACAATACCCTTAATACTTACAGTTCAATGATGATTTTAATATAATCTTAATGGTAGTTCATCCAGGCCAGGTTTACTAAGTGAGATTTCAATATCCCATTGCCCAGACTTGGTAGCCTCTGGGTGGGTTATAATGGTAGGTCTGTATCTCAGCATGTTCTGGCAGTAAGATGGGGTCTCCCATATCTTCTCCAGTCCAGGCACCCAGCCAGATTCCCACCAGTTCACCATTCAGCCACCATTTGCTGCCGTTTAGACCTGAGAGACCGAGCCTGTGTGCTGCTTGGCTGGACACTCTACACATGCCAGCCTTCACTTGGAGAGCCAGCTGGAGGACCGACTGGGACATCGTTGGTGCATTTTAAGTAGAAGGTAGTGATTTATTTCTGAATCTGGCTCAATACCTGCTAGTTGTGCGCAGGGAGGAAGGTGCTAGTTGCATAAAAATCAATACCACTAGAGCTTCTGGCAGTGGATATCAAAACAAACTTTGGGTAAGAAGTATTGATGCTGATTGTAAATATTTGTGTTGCTTTAGACAATCGGTTAAAATAAATTTCCACCCTTAGGTAATCTACTGTGAAAAATGTATATGTGATGCTGTCTTTCTTCAGTAATCTACCTTTTTTTAGTACCCATTTTTCATCGAGCTAACTTATATAAGTTTTCTTTAGTTAGTAATTTCCTACAGTTTTTAAACCTGCTACATTTATCTGTAAGTTGTACTGGAAACGTACTTGCTGTTGCTGCAGAAATTAATATCTTCTGCGAAATGCAAAATGGCATTGTTTCCACATTTGGAAGGGTTAGCTCCAAAATCTGACCTTTGCTTGTGATCTTTTACATCGCTCACAACTTCTCAGTGATCCCATTCCGCTGTGGTCTCCACATTGCACTCACAAACAGGCTCTAAAATACCAGACACATTTTTGTTGTTTAATGGTGTTTTATTTCTCCTTTAAGCTGTGCTGAAAGCAAAGTGTATTGAGGATGTTTTTCTGCTTCATGGCACAAACAATCCCTTTTTGTCCTTTCCTGTACCTTATGATTTGATCTCACCGTGACTGCCCCTTAAATCATTTATACTGTCTACGAAAAATCAATAGATACGGAGGAAAAGTGCACTGACTGATTTTGTCTCCGCCCTTAGACGTGTAAAGCAGTCTTCCTGAAAACTGAAAGCAAACACTCAATGAAAAATTTTACATTACAAACATTTTAATTAACGTTTTCTGTAATTGTGTCATTGAAAAGGCATCAGGCCAGTGTCTTTAGTTAAACTTGACATTCAGATTAATATATATTGTCTGCCAAGCCATGAAGCAAAATGTAGTAATAATCACACACTGCTTTCCCTAAAATGTCCTCGCTTGTGGTAAAATTCTGCTCCTCTGTTGCTCACTATTTGCCATGGACTGTCAGTGGAGCTCATGTTTGTGCAGCAAGTCATTAGTTTCTTTTTAGTGTGAAGCTGGCAGGCAGTACTGATGACAGGTAAGTTAGTGTGATCCTCTTGGATAGCAAACACTAATCACCCACAGTGGGCAGTGTGAAGAATGTGTAGTCTGGGAGCTCTATTTGGCAGCTGGGTTGCAGATGTTGTCTAGATTGCGATTGCAAACAGTGACAATGCTACTTCTTCACAACTGAATAGCCAATCTGACCCCCATTACAATAGCTATTTGGTCTACAGATATTCATAGAGCTTGAAACAGGACGACCTCTGCAGTTCACCATCATTGCATATTATGATAATGTACACCAGGAAGGCTGCCCTAAAATTCCAAGAAGACTTAGGCTTAGCATAAATGCATGTCTAATAATGAATATGTAAGATTGTATCTGTCTGAAAGATGCTGGTATTTGTAGCAAGCTAAGAATGTTGTATAAACAAGACGAAGCTTAAGTGACTGAATTTAGTGCGGTTGGTTAAAGATGTTAAATGTGAGTCTAAAATTATGCAGGAATCACGGGAGGGAGGAACAGTAACACGCTCAATTGAATACATTGTGGGCCACAGATCCAATAAGACATGTACACAGACAGACAGACAGACAGACAGGCAGAGATCATTGGGCTTTTCTCTCCATGCCATATGCCAATCAATTAATTATTCAGGGAGGTAGAAGTGAGTTTTTTCCCCCCCAATCAGTGCAACAAATCCAGAGCCCTTTTTTGCCTAGCAGCCTCATCCACACTCAGAAACCTTGCTCCAGACAGAAGTCTAGCTGGCAGCAGGAACTTGCTCAGTAAAGTCACGATAAACAGAAAGACCGAAGCGATGCTTGAGATCAAATGTAAAACTTCAATCACAGCTAAACATAACTAACACCTATGGTTCTTTTTCGGTATTACCCAGGACTCTGGGCCTGTGAAACCCATTCCAAAGCCACAGTGATCAACTGCTGAATTACATCTCTATTGAACAATGTGGCACCTCACAATTAACATCTAATGTCTGTGTTCAGTGCCAATGTAGTGTGACCTATATGAAGAAAGGTGGAAAGTAAGGGTGTGCAGATTGGGGTTGTGGACTGATATCTGAGTTTCATCCAGGAGACCAGAGTTCATGTCTTGTCACAGACCTCTAATATATGCTTGCCTTTTTATTAACCATCACCATGATCTTTCCCTAACCTTAACCAAGCGTTTTAGTTGTCTGTCACTTACACAATGTCTACACAAAATCACAGTAGTTGTGTTCATAAAGCTGAGTAGAAATATGCTGTAGACAAGCATTTGCCATACCTTGTCCATAGTTTAACTGCCATAACCACAACTTTTCCATAACCTTAAAAGTGACAGTATGCTTGAAAAGAACAAGTTTGTCCAACATATCATCCGACCAGGGCGATCTGAGGGCAAAAGTGTTTATACCCATTCCGTACGGCCACACTTCAAGACTGGGGTACAAGACTGCTATCTGAGAGAGATGGGCGATAATCTATACTTGTTCAAATGAGGATAACTCTAACTAACTAAGAGTTTTTAGGCCCCATCCACACTACAGCGTTTTCAAATTAAACAACGGCAAAATCGAAAACCTAAAACAGAGAAGTTTGGAAACGCTGCCGACCCAGTTTTGCATTTCAAAACTCCAGAGGGCGTTTTAGTGAAGACAGGCAAAAACGGAGGACTTTAGAAACGATGACGTGGCCGCTCACGCTCGGCTCTCTGATTGGGTCTTATAAGTCATGCAAAGCAGAAACACGATGGTACTGACCGGGTTTTTGACATGGTATTTTTATTAATATTCTGTACTGTGCAAATAACACTTATCTACCTACACTTGTACTGTGCATGTCGGCGTTTACTTTGCGATGACTTCCAGTCTGTTTTCCGCCGCCACAGTACCGTGTCACATTCAGTAACAGTCCTAGCTCATTATTGGTGTATGCAAAAAAACTGCTCTGATTCTTCGTCTGTTTTTCTTTATTCTTTCGCCAAACGAAATAGACCATCTGCTTAATGTTTATACTGGCCCGCACATGCCCAGTGTACCTGAACGGCCAATAGATGTGCGTTTTCAGTCGTTTTAATGTGGACGGAGATCAACTCCAAAACGCAGCTAAAATGCTGGTGTGGACGGAGATCGTATTCGTTTTAATTCTCCATTTGTAAACTAAAACGGAGTAGTGTGGATGGGGCCTTAGAGAGAAGTTCAAATCCTGAATTCTTTCTCACATGGCCAATCGCTGCGTGAAGTGGGTGTGCTCGCCATAATTTCGACGTTAGAAAAGTGTAAGGGGTTGTGGTTTCAGACACTCTACAGTCAACTGACAAGCACTTCATTTGAAGCCTACTGACATTAACCGTACTGTAATTGCCATGCAGATATTGCAGAAAGTGGAAATTTTTATTAAATCCGTGGTATTGCAGAATAGTCACATAACAACGTTCTCCTCTGATGATAGTGTTGAATGCAGCAATGCGCACATCTCATTTTCTGTGCTGCCAAATTTAAAATTATAGAAACAGTTTTTTTGTAAATGCCGGATTATTGTTCTTCAAGTCAAGGCAGCATGTGCAAAAAATAATATCTTTAAGATGATTATCTATATTTAAAAAAAAAATAATAATAGAAAACAGGGGAAATATGACAAAATGAACAACAAATCCCTGGCACTTGAGAGTTCCCCTGAGTACAACTGAAGCAGACAATGAACTATCTATATGGGACAGATGTAAATTTTGCCACTTATGTAGAACCGCGCTATTAACGCAAGAACAAATCAGCAAGCTGCAGCTAATTTCCTGAATGTCTTCAGTTAATCTCATTAATGGGAATAATTGTGGGAGTAGATAAGGAGCAGCACACAAAACAGCAGTATGTTCCTGAGCAATATATGGCTATGTGAGGCAAATTCAGCACTATTCACCACCTGGGAAACATCAAAAGACGTGTAGAGAGCGACTGTGTGCAGAACAAGCAGAGGACTGAACACGACACTCTGTGGCTTTGGAGATAAGCTGTACAACTGTATGCTTGTTGAGCTGACTTTGGAGAAACTAAAATAAAACCAGCATTATTTAATAGTGTGTTTAAAGCTTTGTTATCATCCAGCATGGAATTCATAACTCTTTTAACTCATTAAGCAAAGAGATGGTACAAAACAAAGAAAGCCCCAAAAAGCCCATTTAGAAGCTAATCTTTTATGAAACGTGAGGTAAATTCATCAAACATTTCTAACACCCTATTAGGTTCATTCAAGCTCAGTTCCTCTCAACATGAATAAGAGTGTTCGATCAAATTGTTTTGATGATAATGCACTTCACCTACATCAGTATACCAGAAGCACTAGGCTGATTACACATGTGGCTCTCTGGTCGCCAGGGGAGCTGACTACAGGGAAAATCAGCTTTTAAATAATGTCTGTGTTTGATTTTTTGGCATGAAGCTGAGCGCAAAGTGCATCCACAGACTTGTCTCATTGATGAAAACAAAGGGTAGCGGTAAAACTGTTGCATGCCGCTCTTTCCCACATTGGCATCCATATCAGGCGGACAGGTGGGGAAAGAGTGACACAGCATTTTTGTGAATGGAACGGACCAGATTGCATGGTACACTCATAGTGCTGAGAAATCCCATTCATATGGCTCCCTGCACCAGAGAGACTTCTGACAACCAAGAGACAGCCTGCCAGGAAAACAACAATTCAAGTCGATTCAATTTAATCACTGCCACAGGAACATACAATAGCACTCAAGCAGGAGTGGATGGAGCAAAAACCTTTATTAAAAGGTTCCACTTGTATTGATAAACAACCAAAGAAATATCTATTCAGACTTTGAAGTTCTCTTCAGCTCTATGTAGCGTCTTCACATCTTTCAACCAACCGTTTTAGTTTCACAGGCCTCAAGTTTGCTATTTTAGTTCACTCTCTCTGCTCTCATCAGTGTTGATTTCAGCAGAAGCAGGCAGAAATCTTAAGTGAAAAAACAAATAATCCAATTAGCTCAGTTCGATAGGTGCATTTTGGTGCAATAATCTTCATTGGGCAATTCATTTAGCAAGTGACAATAAGCACACATGTAAAAGACCTGGTAAGGAAGCATGAAAAATTATATTAAGGAAATGAAAATAATAAAGTGAGAGGAACAAACCATAATCATACTTATAGAGGGAACCGAAAAAACACTATTCTTTCTTAGGAAAAGAGATTTAATTCCAATTGACCATATTTCTTGTCAGTGTGTGGAAGCTTGTATATTTATCAAATCAACACTAAAAATTCACTCATTTTATTGAAAAGTCTATTTTATTTTATTTTAAAGGAATTCTTTTAGTTATGTCAAATGGATCCACACAGCAGAACATAAAAAGTGCCTAAAAATTATACTTGTGTATCTTGTGTAGCAGTGCTGTAACTAACAACCCCAAGTGAACACTGACACGCTGTGCAGTAAAAAGTGAATGAGACAGAGATGGGATATAGAGAATGGGATGGGTGTAGAGTTACACCCAGCCTGCTGCCATTAGGAAGGTGGGAAAGGGAGAGGAGACTGTGCATCAAGTGTGTGTGTGTGTGTGTGTGAACCCTGTGAGTGTTCTTTGGCTGTGTGTTGAACTGAAAATAAGTCTACATGCACATGAAAGCATGAAAGGACAGTGTGTAGCCTTTAACAACGCCCACAATGCCCTGCAGCAAGGTCATGCAAACCATCAATCGATAAAGATTGAATCAGAATACAGATCGAGGGGAACAAAAAAAAGGCAATAAAGCTCAGGTGGTAACTGATTTGAAACTGAATGCCATCTTCCACCATCGCCAACATTTCACCTGGATTTTACCTTCCTCATTATGGAAGGTTTGGAAGCAGTCAATCATGGCCCATATAAGACCGTCAATCCATCATTTGATAGACATAACAGCTTCTGTCACAGGTAGCCACCTCTCTGCATGGCACCTCAAGGTAAGAAAAGCTTTGTCTGCACACCAGACATGTTAGGCAGTGGAGTATATTGGCATGGTGCATTACTGGAAAGTCCCAATACAGAATGCAAAACCATTGACTTAAGCCTCCTGCTTCTGCATAATGCAACTGTGTCCCACTTGGAAATAGTGCATGGCACAACTTCAGCCACATGTAATCCCTGCAAATGCAAATATTGTCACGTTCCTTTATTGTCCTGGTTGCAAACGTTAATATTTATTTGCAAGATCAGAGGAAGATCACAGCTTTGCCTGCAGCAATTGGCCTTCTAGCATCAAATTAAGCCAGCCCATGCATGTGTGTGTCTTTTCATTCATTCATCTACAACATGAAAAGTGTGTGTATGAATGTGTGAGTGAAAGGGTGGTAAATATGGATTCATGGCAGAGAGACAGAGAGGCTGTTCATGCACTCTCCCTCCTTGCATCTCTATAATAGCCGGTAATAATATTGTTTATAGGAGGGGCAGCTGTTCCTCCTATGACAGCTCCTGTTTTTACTGTTAACTGCACGCGCGCACACACACGCGAGGCGGCACACATATGCACACACACGCCGAGGCGGCCTGACTGCGGTGCCGATCGTGTCTATACACCGCTGTAAAATCTCCTCCTCATTCTCTGAAATGGTAATTGGGGAGAATCCTTGGCTATTGTCTCAAGTGCATTACATCATGCCAGCCTCTCAGTCTGCATCCCGCCCCCCTTCAACTCTCTCCTCTGTCTCTCCACTGTGACAGCCGGCCGTATTTTTTTCTCCTGCAGAGCCTCACAATGTCAACCACACACACGAAATGTATAGGTTATATACACCATGTATCCATCCACACCAGGTGCCCCCAAGCTCCTCCAATATCACCCTATCAGTCCAGAGTTGAGGGATGTGAAGAGGGCACCGCAGAAAATCACCTTGAGCCTGCAGGAACAGGGCAATGTAGGTCACTGCAATACCGGCGGCAACAGTGTGCATACTCACAATTTATTCCTTTACTATCTGTAGCGGCTCTGGCAGCGGATCAATGACAACTGCAGTCTCTGTAAGCTAGACCATCAAGCGGACAATCCTAGGAGGCTTCTTCAGTGCAAAAAAGCAGCGACGCCGAGGATCTGATCGTAAAGGTTCGGCTGGTCCCCGCCGCTGGCATTGTCAAAAAGCAAAAGAGCAGGAATAATCGCCAAATTAGCGGCGTTGGGTAATGACATTTGATTTCCGGGGCTACACACACCGGTAAAGAAATTATGGCATGTTACAAATTCTGCTGTGATAAGCTGAGCTGGAAAAGACCATTGTTGGAGATGACGGAGGGGAGGCGTGTGGATTCTTAAAGTTGCAGCTGTGCAATTCTTAACCCCCCGCGTGTAGATAGGCTACTGTATAATAATAATAATAATAATAATATAATAATAATAATAATAATAATAATAATAATAACAACAGAGATTATTTTCCAGCATGTATCCACATTTGAGTCACAATATGTAAACAATAATTTTACAGTAAAAAATGAAAAAGCTATAAAAACAACTAAATAAAATGTCTTGTTGTATAAAATGTATAGTTATTTCATGTCCATAGACCAATAGGCTAAGTTCGCGCTTTTCCAATCAGTTGGAATTTTTTTTCAGTCAGTAGAGCGGCCGCCTTTTGAAGCCATGTTCACCTGGTCCTGTCACACAGATGGTCCCTGCCAAGTATTGTAATTAGGATTGTTCTGAGTCGCTGACAGTTGCATTTGGTCTCTTATTTCTCCCGATATTTTGGAAATGAGATAAATCCCTCTGCCTATTTGCCTTTGCACCTAAACGGTAGCCTAATATCCAGTGCAGGGGCCCTTAAACATTTTAACAACCAGATCCTCAAACAGACTCTGATCTGATCACTGAATTTTAAAAATATAATTTTGTTCAAGAGATTGTGATAGTAGCCTGCTGAACTACAGGTGTTCTTGGTATAATATAATCTAAGTACTTTAGTGTACTTTTAGTCTGGGTCAGTTTTCAAGGTTCAGGCCAGGCCTCTTGGGGGAGATCTTAATGCTAGAGCTTACAATGATATTTTAGAAAAAAAACTCTGGTCTTCCAAGGTCCCTACTGATTTAGCACAACATTTCAATTTTTACATTTAATGAGTGTGTAAAAATCTAAAAAGGGCCAGTGGAGATTCATGTACCTTTAGGAGCATGCTCAGATGCACTGGCCCACTGGAGAAAGCATCAAGTATGAATGGAAATATATTTAAACTCACATTTTCATAAATAAATACTGCTCATAATAACAGCTGTGCCAGCAACATGGATCTGTCACCTTACAGTGGACATCAAACACGTGGCAATTTAAATAACAGTTAGAGGAGGCACTAAAAGACACTATATTTCTCCTAATCAACGAATAAATGCAGTTTTATTTTCTTAATTTTTGGTGTAAGAAATGCTGAAGAGACTGTTCTGCGTTGGCAATAAAATACTGAAATGTCACTAGTTGATGAGTCCATACTTAATCTTGTCCTTCAATTTCCTCCCAGGAAGTTTGTTTGGTTTTCTATTTTCAAAGAGCGGCATAAATGTTTAAGAGCAGCCAGCGTTCTCAGTGTGTCTCCAGGAAGTTGGAGATTATTAATAGGTGACTTAATGTAAATGTACCTTAATGTATGTGTATGGGTGTGTATGTGTGAGTATGTTTCTTTGTGCATTTGTGTACTCATACATGTGGGTATGTGTTTGTGTTTAAACAAACTGGCTTCCAAGTACATTGACCCTCCATGACTCTGCATGTCAGTGGGACCCCTTGTTGTGGGATCATACAGTTGGAGTGTCACCCTGCTGTGTGGTCCCGCACAAGGTACAGCACTTTAATGCACCAATAAAGCACTTAAATACTTAGACTTGATTGCATGTAATGGCACTTTAACGCTTGAATAAAACAGCACTGTAATAACAAGGCAGAAGGATGGAAACACTCTACAACAAATTACTGTCAACTCATAATTGATTTACTTTGAAAATCAGTTCTTGACCTGCTCGGTGAAACATAATGTTTTCTTGTGTATTGTAGTGTACTGTAGCCTAGTATTGTAGTCAAGACTGCCCAAACCGAGACCAATTCAAGTCCAAGACTGGAGTTTATTGAGACCGAGACAAGACCAAGACTTTTAGGGGCTGAGACCAGTCGAGACCAAGACCGAGGGAGGGCGAGACCGAGTCAAGACCAAGACCAGTTCCCTGCATTGCATGGCATGCAATAAAATGTGGAACAGATCATAGGTACTTCTGAAATTGCTCTGAAAGATCCACATTCCCATTAAAACACCCACATACAAACACTAAGAGCTGAAATCAACGTAAGCATCGCAGGGAGGAGTGACAGTCATTAATTAGGCTTATTGGTTGCATTTGAAGCAATTTGCTTTACTTCCAATCAAAGTTAGGATGTTAACAAATCAGACAATGCAAAAGCAATTTATTGATATTCCCAAAGTTATGGTCTTGAAATAAAATCCCGAGTCCTCAATGTCCGAGACAAGACCGAGTACAAATGCAGTCGAGACCGAGACAAGACCAAGACCATCAAAAAGTGGTCTTAAGACCAAGACCAGTCTCGAGTACAACAACACTACTGTAGCCTACTATTTCTTTTTTGTTTTTATTATGTTGTCCTTTTTTGTATTGAAATGTACTGACCAGGGACTAGAGATGAAAAGTAGCCTTCTGGCTAAATCTGGCATATTTACATTGATGCCAGCAGAAATGTTCATTAATGTGCGCTAAATATGTAAAATAAAAAAAATAACTGGGTTCTTGTTTCAGATGTACCACCTCAAGTAAGTCATCACATTTGATATGCTAAAAGAAAATAGCTTTAATCAGCTGCGCAAAAGTGATTCAGGTTACACTCACACTGCAAGACTCAGCTGCTCAATTCCGATTCACTTATCAGATCTGACCATTTTCTGGCCACAATCTGACATCAGTCTGAACAAGTGATCTTTATAAATGAAACCACTTGTGCAAAAGAGTAATACCAAAGTCTGCTGGTCATGCTGACATTGACAAAGTAAACACAGACTACATTGATTAAAGACATTGGATATGGTGTCATCAAGTATTGTCGTCATATTGGATATATCAAAAACAAATACAGATTAGCTCATTGTAAAATAGTCAGTAATTTAATTAGCCAACTATCGATTAACTGACTATGGTTGATTGATAGACAGTGTTCTTATTTAGTAAGTGTTTTACTTACTTTACTTATCGTTTTTTTAATTTCTAACTACTATTGTGTGTTATCTTTGTTTTTGCCAGGCTGCAGCCATAATTCTCATTAAAGACTGAACTAGAACTCAACATGCAAAACAGCCAAATGAGGAAGCAAAATATAAAACAATCTAATAAACATCCCTCTCCTAACCAAGTCATCAATAGCTTAGTGTCAATATTTTAATCAAAACCATTTGGTTTAACAGCTCTCTTTCCCTCTGTCCCTGCTGTCCTCCTCAGCAGCTGTGTGGGCTCATGACAAATTGTTGCCTGTAAACTGACCAGCGATTGATGTCACTGTCCATGGTGCTGAATCCTGTATGCTTTGTGTATGTGCTGCACTGAACTGCAGCCCATTGGGAAGGGTGGGTTGAAATTTTCGCTACAAAGTATTGCAACCAACTTTTTTGCGTTGTGACTTCAGGACATTCAATTTTTTAAATCATGTCATCAAAGATCTACGGACTTATGTCTCCATTCACAGGAATCTACTCTCCCTGGATTCTGGGAAAACCTCCATTCTGGTGGATTTATCTTTCTACTGCCTGTCATTGGCCAGGACATTTAATTAACATACATTATGCACTAGTTTGGTGTCCCCCCTCTCATTCTTCTTTAGCAGGGACTGAATCCCACCTGGGAAATGCTTTCAGATACCTCTTTTCTGTGTTGCATTTCCAGCTTGCTTCCTGCTGTTCGTTTCGTCTTGTCTGATAAATCACCATGACAAATGCAGCGTTAAGTGGTGAAGTTGAGCGCTGGCCCTCTTCTCAAGTGAAAAAATACTCTGCTTGCCGGCCATAAAGCCTGCATGAAGATACTTGGTAAGCACTAGGCACTGACACACCCATAACTTGATGCGAAACGCAGCAGGGCCTTTCTCATAATGTCCCACTTTCAGGATTCAACAGTGAATGGTGATGAATACCAGTCAGCGGTAGAAGAAGTACTCAGATCTATTACTTAAGTAAAAGCAGCAATACCACAGTGTGGAAATGGTATAAGCATTCAAAAATGTACTTGAAATGTACAAACGTGCATGTATTAGCATCAGAATGTACTTTACTTACTCTTTTATTCCATTGTATATTTTTTATATTTTGTCTTTTCATATTTTAATATTTATATAACTTATGTTTATTGTCAAGCACCAAGTCATCAAAGCAAATTCCGTATGTGTTTAAACCTACTTGACAAAAAAGCTGATTATGATTCTGATTCTATGTACTTAGAGCGCAAAAAAACAACAACAACTGATTATGCAGAATGGCCTTTTTCAGTATAATGTTTATTATATTATTGAATTATAGTTATTCAAACAATATGTGCGTTACTTAAATGTTGCAACTGGTAAATGTGGCTCTAATGTCACTTTGTGTTGAAAAGTGGTGGGGACAGATTAGGGGTGTGATGATACACTTAACTCACGAGATGATGCACAATATTGGGATCATGAACACAAGTCAAGAAGATATTTTAACACTATTTTGAAGAAATATTCAGTGCTGAAATATATGAGGGGGGGGGGGAACTGGGGTCAGGGACAGTTTCATTTGTAATCATTTCTTGTTGCTTTCGAAAAGTGATGGGGACAAAATCAGCCAATTCAAAAAGTGGTGTGGACATGTCCCCAGCGTCCCCAGTGTAATAATCCTTGCCTAAATGACACCTCGGCTCTAATGCTTTACTATCCTGCAGAATTTCCCCTCAAGACTTATCTTAACTGGTATGATAATATATCATAATTTATTTGTTTATTCTATTTGATATCATTCATCTGAATCTGCAAAGTAGGTATAGGTTATCAAATAAATGCAGTGGAGAAAAAAAGAGACAAATATTTGCCTCTGAATTGTAGTGGAGTAGAAGTTTAAAGTAGCAAAAATGCATATATATGAGTAAAAAATATGAGTATGCAAATACTCAAGTAAAAGTGCAAGAACCTTAATTGTATTTAAGTATAATACCCTCATTACAAATGCCTGTTTATAATGCAGCTGACTGCTCCTATACCATCCCACCCACTATATTGACCTACCGTGTGCCTGTTACACTACTACAGTGTCATAT